TGGGGGCTTCTCCTGTGGCTTCTCTGTCTGTGCCCGCCTCTACCCTGGTAGGGGAAGCCACAGGGGATCTGCCCTGCTGTCACTTGCCCAGCTGGCATGGGGTGGGGGCAAAATGCAGGCACCTGCATCAGTGCTGAGAATGAGGGCTCTGCCCTGATGCCGCTTGCCAGCTGGCATGGAGAGTATGGGATGCAGGTGTGGCAGTGCTGGGAGAGGGGGCTATGCCCTGTTGCCACCCGGAGCAAGCCGTGCCCGCATCCTGCTCCCCCCGCCCTGACTGGGCAAGTGGCAGCAGGGCAGAGGCCCTGCTCCCAATGCTGCCGTGCCTGGATCCTTCAGCCCCCTGTCCCCCTCCCCGAATAACGCACCTCCTGCTTAAGCTAGACAGCTTGTACCAGCCCCAATCCCTCCCTCTCCCAACCCAAACAGACTTAACACTGGAGGCAGCTCTCAGCTGCCTGTTTAGTCTATGGCCGAATCTCTGAATTGGACAAATCTTTTCCAGAGCTTTTCTGAATTGATTTAGATACTTTGAATTGATTCAGAGTTTTACTTGGTTTCCTGATTCAATTTGGATTGAGAGATTCAGCCCCTGAATCAGACTGAATCTCCTCTGAATTGAATCTGCTACTGAAGCTTTGCACAGACCTAATACCTGGCTTAGACCTCAGCTACTTGCATTCTGATAAAGCCCTGACTCTGGTCCTAGCCACATAGGCCTAACTGCCTCTGTGTTAGTCAACCCTGTCAAGAGGATGTTACATGGCACAAAGCATGGCTGTATAGAGATACCTGAGCTAGGTTATAGCAAGCTAGCCTGGATGAAAGAAAAACAGTATATCGGTTAACCTGGTATTTTATCTTGGCTGCCCAGTTTGCCTCTCAGAAAAGCTTGTTAGCTGGTACAGAGTGCTATACTAAGACAACTATAATGCTTTTGGGAGCCAAGTCATCTTATTCACAGCTGCATAAGGCATGTACAGTGCACTGTACAATGCAGACAGCCCCTAGGTTCTCAATTGTTGCATGAAGTTAGAACAGCATGCCTTTTTGGTGCAGGACAGCATCATGCTGAAATGCATGATGCTAGCTACAGTACAATTTCATTAGCGTGGCACAGCACTCAAGCTACCTAGTTCCGCTAAGAGGCAGAATTTTTAAATTTACCTGCGGCACTATAATAAGGTGACTATACTTCATATTTGTGAGCTACCATGCACAGACCTAGCACATTGTGTTTAACATGGTGCTGACTTGCACTTTCTAGGAATATTCTTAGAGGTTCCAAAATCTGAGGGTCATTGTACTTTCCCACTATAACTGCAGCTATAATTCAATTTTCATCACAAACCCAGTCCTGTCCCCTTCCCCAAATCCCCAAATCAAGACAAATTGGCCTCAAAAGTTGGTAAACCAGAAAGGTCCCTGGAAAAAAATTATACTAATTATTTTTTTATCCATAATCCTGAAATGAGTTGTCATGATCTGTAAAGCTAATTTTAGATAGCCCCACTTCTGAGACAGAACAGAGAAGAAAAAAAAAACAATCACCACTGATGGTAGTTGTTTATTCTTCACTGCTCCTACATTTAGCTTGGGGAAACCCCTGCTCCTATAGACCTTAAAAAGATTGCTGGAAAGAGGAATAGCTAATAATGGACTTCCTGAGGTTGGCAGAAGCAAACATTAGGAGATTCTTTGTGTCTACCCACACAGCACTTAGGGCTTAATAGGAGTCTTTCAGTATCCCATAGCCTGTAGTGCTGGAGACTACAAGAAGCTACTTAAACTATGGTCTCAAGAAAGACCCATGACCTTGGAGGCTGCCCACAAGACTTGTGAAGGTTAGAGGAAAGGGCAATGATAGCCTCCTTCTAAGTCACAGAGTGGGCATGAACTAAGAAAGCATATAATATAGGCTCTTCATGGGGGTAATTCTGAGCCTTGTAGGATCTGATGAACCTTCTAAGGGTTATAATGGGTCATACATGCTGAAGCACGTGAAGACTTGCTCCTGTGTCTTTACCAGTCTTAGATTGCTAGCTCTCTCCCTATGGAAAACAGAATTTTCATGACAGACTTCTTTCCAGAAAATCTCAGAAACATGACCATGCTCTCCCTTTCCCAATACCAGATGGAATTATTTCATGTTTTCGAAGTTTCATCAACTTTTCTTCTTTTAAAATTATGAGGTCCATAAAAGGGCTTTGACATTACCTGATAGGGCTTGAAGCAGAATCAGGATCCCGTGCCATCACTGTTCCTATGATTGTTCCTACTTCAATATCTTCATGCACCTCAAAAAGGTAAGAGGATCGGCTGAAGACAGGAGGCTCGTCTACATCTTCTACAGATATTTTCACAATAGTAGTATCTTTAAAAGGCCCCAAATAATAAAAGCGTGGGTCCACATGGGTATTTTCTGCTTCTATTTTCAATGTATAGAGCCTTCTCATTTCATAGTCCAGTGGCTGTGGGGAAAAAAAAGAAAAAAAGCTTATACTACCTTACTATCTATGTTGGGTGCACAGAAGAGATAAAAGCATAATGGACCACATCATCAGTTGATATACCCTAGGGTTAATCTATGTAAATCATAGCTCTCAGAATCATTCAGGCTCATGTCTTGATGGTTATCTCCCACAGCTGTACAGAAAAGGAACACAGTTCCTCTAATAACTTCAATGTCCATTGATTTCAATGGCATTCACCATTTATTATTTCAATAAATGCATTCCAGTAGTACCAAGAACTAAATGGAGCTTCTTGATATATTTTTGAAAATCATTTTCAAAAGGGAAACCTTTGTAAACTAGTCTTTTTTTTAAACAGATCTTCACTGTATACTTTAAATTACAAGCATAACAACTGCTTGAAGAAGTGTTCTGACGAGTAACAAAAATACGATCTAAGCCAACAAGTATTCCACATATGGACCTCCCATTGAGGTAAATGAAAAGAATGCATGTAGAATTTCCAGCTGTAGGCCTTAGATACCACATTTCAGGATGTCATACTTTAGGAATGTGTGTGTATGTCTAGAGTAGTCCAATTTTAAGCAAAACAAATTTAACTGGTCTTAGCTATAAGTTTTAATCTTGAAAAAAATATATCCCATAAAAATTTAAGATTTAAAACTTTAGTAGGAAAAAAATCAGACCTTAATCTGGCTCATTTTCATTGAATTTCATGAATCCAACATTACAATTTTTTTTTTTTTTTTTGCTAATATATTTGACACTTTGTCAGCAGTTACTTTTTAAAATGAAAAGAGGAAAGGTTCAGGGTTATAATTAGAATTCATTTTGGGTAGACAAGAAATACCATTTCCCCTGATTTCTTTGTGACTGTCACAGGTGAAATGTGTTAGGTAATTAATAATATCTTGGAAATAAGCAGACTAAAAATTTACCTGACACCAGAACAGACTTCATTAGCTCACACAGAATAACAGAGATATATCAAATTAGTATTTTTCACTTACTAAAATGCATGATAGAGTCACATTTACTTTTTTTCTCCTTTTAAAACTTTTAAGGTTAAATTATTGCTTATGAAAGATGCCAGATTGACAGCCTCAGGAGTTAAATATTCTATTTTTCAGGAGCAAAGGTGCATACAATAAATGAAAACTTGCCTCCACAAAGCCCTAATCTTATGAAGTGAAATTAGAGGAGGGACAGTTTGGCATTTATACACATGCTGTGGGAGTGGAGGTGGGGGCGCTTTAATTAGAGTGGCTGTGAGAGTTGCTCTAATGAAAGTACCTGGAACATCTTGTGTATTAGTTTTAGATAAAGCACCCTCGCTGCCATTTTTAAGTGCAGGGACACCAATACATGAGAAGCTGGAGGCTCCTGGAGCGCAGTAATTATCATGCTCCAGAAGACTCAATTAAGTGCACTCCAATACACTGTAATTACAGCATATCAGAGCAGCCTTGCTGGTTTTGTACAGGTGCCCTATGGATTAAATCCTATTCTCAATTTCTTATCACCAGGATTGGTAAAGAAAGTACCAAATGTAACACAGAAATCTGCCCACTAAAATCTGGACTGGAATGCAAAAATGGATAAATGATAGTAATAGTTTACAGCCTCTGATAACAAAATCTGCGTTTGAAACTAGGAATTGAAAGCAAAGGCTCAATACAAATCCCTTAAGTAATATAGTCTAGTGCACATATACATATAGGACCAATTAGTAAGTACTTATGTTTAAGTATCTATTCAGGAAAACTCTTAGCATATGTGCTTAAGATCTACAGCAATCAGCACAGAATCAATGACTTACTGAACAGTTGAGTGATA